CGCGAAGGAGCCAGCACTGCCCCCGCGACGGCAAATCGGCAACGTTTAGCTACGAGGGGGCGCGGTCGACGCGGAGCGAGACGCGCAATTGCGCCGCCTGCAGCCACACCGAATTGATGAGACACGTATATTCCCACTCTTTGGAAGGCGCCTTTCCGCGTGGCGGCCTCGGCACCGACGTTGTCAGAGCAGAGGCGCGCGCGCCTGCCCGCGAGCGCGTCGCTGAACGTGGAGAGGCCAAACGCGATCGCTAGAAGCTCGAGGGGCACCATCTGCGCGTCGCCCCTCTGCTTGAGATGGCGCAGAACGCAATCGGGGGGGCCCAATCGGAGTAGGAGGCCCGCCCGTCGAGGAAGAGCACAGCCGCAACGCGGGCCGGCGTGCTGCGCGCGTCGACAAAGAGCTGCGCTGCCTCGCGCTGGTCTGGTGCCCAGACACGGGTCTCGCAGAGCTCCAGCGCTAAGACTTCTGCCCACCATTCGAGTGCGACGCGCAGCTGCTGCGGCACCACCACGCCGCACTGCTTCGAGTGGGCGAACATGGGCCGGATGAGCGCGCGCCCTATGCGATGGAACATGCCCGAGCATGCCCACATCAGGGCGCCCGCAAGCTTTGCCGCGTCACCCGGCCGCTAAACGCCCGAGGAGAGCGCGTCGCCAATGCGACCGCGCCACTTCTTGACCTTGTCGGGCGAGGGGGTGCACGAGAAACCGCCGTGGTCTGCGCGGACCTGAAGGCCCAGGGCGACAAGCGGCATGCCCGCGGCGACCTTGCCCGCCGCGATTCAGAAGGGCCGAGGATGCAGCGCACGAGCCGCACGATGCACTCGAGCGCGTGCTCGGTGCATGCCGCGCGCTCGGCGCCAAAGAGGTCATCGACGAAACGCAGCATCGGAATGAACAGTGGGCGACGCACAAGGTGCGAAATGAGCGCGCCGACCCTCTCCCACGCACGCACGGACGCGACGGCGCCGAAGGGCATGGCCAAGTGCCCTGCCACATGGGCCACGCCCTGCGCGAGGAAAACGAAGAACAGGAACCGGCGATGCATCGGCATGGCGGGCAGCCTACGGAAGGCCGAGCCAATGTCGGCTTTGTAGAACATGATGCGTTCGCGCGTGCCCTGCGCCACGCCCCTCGCCACGCGGGGCGAAACTTCTCACCTGCCGAGGTGCGCCCGTTTACTTTCGCGCGAGTTAGATCGTCAACGGCCCGAACGCGTATGTCGCCATTGGACCGCGTTTGCACAACCCCGAAGCGCGGCGACAATACGTTTGCACTAAGGTCGGCCTGCTCAGCCGTGACAGGCTGGGTCACGCGACCCATGCGCGCTTCTTTGAAAGACTGCTGCAGCAGCGTCGCAGAATGAGCGTCCTCTTTGAGGGGCGCCAGCAACGCGCGGTTGGCTTGAGCGGCGCCCCCCAGCACGGTTGAGACCGGCTGCGCGTCGGGACGCTGCACAGGCACGCCGCTTCCCAAGACTGGGAGCGGGCCCACCGCTGGCGCGCCGCGGGGAACGGATTCGATGCACGCGGCGTCCTGGAAATCGGTACGAGCGGCGAGCGCTTCCATTAGCGGGCCGTTGACGCCAGTCGCCACCTTGCGCACGCCTGCACCGGCCCCTACATGCCAGCGGGCCACGTCGCCCGACGCGTGCAGCGCCCGCGCCTCAGCTTCAATGTCGCAGATGAAGCGCTCGCGTTCGGCATTGATCTGGTCCGATTGGCGCGCATTCGCCCAGTCCACTGCGGCCCAGACGTCTGCGCTGACGTCAACGGCTGGCTCGAAATCGACTTGCTCACGGCACGCGTCGTCGACGAATTGTAGCTTCCCCACATCGTCGGCGTCCACCTGGCGAGGCGCACGAGCGGTCCAGTCGGTCGCCGCCTGCGAAGCGGAGTGCGACATGCGACAATGCGGCCGCGCGATGCGCGCGGGGGCCTTCGTCGAGGACGTGCCGCGAGACCGTGGGCGCCGCCGTGCTGGGGGAGCTGGCGGCGCAGGAACGCGCCCCGACGGCGGCGCTGGTGGAGGCGGCGGTAGCCGCCCTCGCATTGCAAATAGACGCGACGAACAAAGTAGCCTCGAACGCGTCGGAGCGCAGCGAAAGCTGAACAACGGACCTGAACGCGAGCGCGAGGAACAAGCCGCGTCTGCGGCGGCCGCTGCAATATGATGAAGCGCGCGAGCCGAGCTGTCGGCCGTGTAAGTGCCCGCGCAATTTCGGCGCGCACCAGGCCAAGCAGCGCGCCGCATTGCTTTGCGAAGGTTGCGAAGATTGAGAAGGCATCGCGCCGATTATTGTTCGGCTAAATTCGCATGCACCGCGCGCCGACTATTGTTCGGCTCCCGCGCTGTCACTCTTGACGCCGCGCGAGCCCGCGCGCGACCGCGTGCTCTGCGCGCCCGCTGCTCCTTTTGCGCCCAGGAGCTGCGGCGCTAGGGGCGGGCCCTCTTGACGGCCTTCGGGGGCGTGCGCGGCCTGCGATTCTCCTCCCCGCCGCGATCCGCCTCGCCCCAGCTGTGCCCGCGGTGATCGCCCGCCGAGCCCCGGCTGTTCCAGCGCTTCCCCGACCATTGCGCGCTCTTGCCACCGCTCGCGGAGCCGTGGCCCTTCCCCGCGGCGGCTTTGCCCGTCGCCACCTGCGATCGCTCTGCGCGAAAGAATGCTGTTGCCCCGCGTGAACCGACGCGATGTGGGGCCTGGGCGCCCTTGTTGCCGCCCTTTGCCGACGTCTCAGCCGGCGCCGCCTTGGCCGCGGCCCCGTCGGCATCGTAGGCCTCCTCTGCGCGACTCAAGATCGCGGTGTCCACGCGCTTCGCCGCGCGATCTGCCTGCGCGCAACCGGCGGGGCCGACGCGGCGCGGAAACGCATCCGCAAGAAAACGCCTGCGGGCCGCGAAAGTCGGGTCGCCAGAGCGCGAGCGTTCCGCCCAATCTTTGCGGGCCTGCTCGTCATAATAGACCGCGAGCTGCACCCGCCGCTTGTTGCGGGCCGCCCCGAGGCCCGCCGCCATGCAGATGTCGCGATGGGCTCCGGCCGCGGCGTAGCTGAGCTGGCCAGCGGCGTGGGCGCCGACCGCGTAGCGACTCCACGCGAGGTGAAACTGGCTGAGCGTCATCATTACGCGCTTGGGCGACGCCTTCGCCCCCGTGGCCTCGCGCGAGGTGGTCGGCGGGGCGCGAGCGCGCGCGACTATGAGGCGCCGCGCCTGTGCCAAGATTTTCAGGCCCTCCGAAAGGTTAGCTTCGTCTTCGTCGGCATCGCGGAGCGCCCCGGCGAGGTGCTGCGGCAGCCACCTGGCTAGCTTCACGTTGACGAAGCCTTTTTTCGATGCCGCGCTTCCGCAGCATGGCCACTTCGCTGGCAAGCTCATCAACGAGGTCGGAGCTACGCCGCAAGCGTCGCGCGCAAAATGGCGCGCGCGCCCCGCCGTGGCGCGCCGCGCGTCGCCTGGGCAGGAGGTCGCTGGGCAAGCCTTCGAGGCTCGCGGTCTTGCGCGTGGCGTGAATGTCCACGTGGGCCGCCGCGGGCGCCTGCGACGCGACGGGCGCGACGTCGCGCGGCGGCGGGCGCGCGCTGTCGCGTCGGCGAGCCTCGTCCTTCTTTTGGAAAAACGCGAGGAGGGCGGCACTGGCGCCCCTGCTGGCCGATCCCGCGGCCGCCTGCTGCTGGTCCTTTGTCTCCCCCTGCGCGCGGGCGTGCCCGCGCGCGCCGCTCGCGCTGCGCGGGGGCGCCGACCTTCTCGCGCCCGGCCATCTTGATGGCCGCGCAGACGCAGCCGCCATCCAGATCGGCATTCTGGAAGCGGAAATCCTCAAACTTGGCCCTGGCCAGCTCTGGGGGCACAGTGATGCTCTCGGCTGCCAGCGCCGCTGCGACCGAGTCGAACCAGGCGGCCTCCTGCGCGCCCGCCCCCTCGACGCGCTCGAGAAAAGCGCGAAGGGTCTCCAGCGCGCCTTCGGCCATCGCGAAGCGGCGCGTTGCGTGTGCGCGCACAGCACAAGACTCAGCCGTTGCTGCGCTTGACGCTGACGGAGAGGTGGCGCGACGACGCGAAGGGGGCGCCCACGCTGCGGCGCAGGCCGTATTGGCCACGCGTGGCCACTCTGGGCCGACGGACAATATGCGCCCGCAAAATGACAAGCCGTCTTGGCCTGCACCAGAGCCGCCGAGCGCTGGGGCCGAGCGGGCCCGCGCACTAGCAAAGGCCGCATTGGCCCCGCACGGCCACTTGGGGCCGACGGACATTATGCGCCCGCGCGAATGCAAGCCGCATTGGCCTGCGCCGGCGTTGTAAGCCGATTGGGTTCAGGAGCAGCCAATCGCTTGGGCCGACTGGGCCCGCGCACCTGCGAAAGCCGTATTGGCCCCGCATGGCCGCAAAGGGCCAACGGACAATATGCGCCCGTATAATGACAAGCCGTATTGGCCTGCGCCGGAGCTCCTGCGAGGGCCGTATTGGCCCCGCACGGCCACTCGGGGCCGACGGGCAATGCGCGCCCGTGCGATAGCAAGCCGTATTGGCCTGCAGCGGCGTTGGAAGTGCGAAAGCCGTATTGGCCCCGCGTGGCCACGTGGGGCCGACGGACAGTGTGCGCCCGTATGATGACAAGCCGTATTGGCCTGCGCCGGATCACCTGCGAAGGCCGTATTGGCTCCGCACGGCCACTTGGGGCCGACGGACAATATGCGCCCGTGCGATGGCAAGCCGCATTGGCCTGCACCAGCGTTGGAAGTGCGACAGCCGCATTGGCCCCGCATGGCCTCGTGGGGCCGACGGACAATATGCGCCCGTAAAAGACAAGCCGCGTTGGCCTTCACCAGCGAAGGAACTAAGTGGGCCCCAGAAAGCCAAACGAGAAGCCACGCGGGCGAGCGTGGGCGCGAGGACACCAGCCGAGAGACCGCGCGAGAGCGGAGCCAGAGCGTGGGCCAGCCCACGCCAGAAAAGGGTAGTCCTGACCTCGATCGAGCCAGCAAAACAGACGAGGGGATCCTGTCGAAGAGGAAGATGGAAGTACCTGCGCCCGGCGGAGCAAGGAGCGAGGAAGGAACCTGCGCGGGGAGAAGAGAGCGGCGACCGGCGCGCGCGCGCGGCGGCGAACGACAAGCCAGACCGCCCCGACACGACGGCGAGAAGCCACGACGCGACACCCACGACGCACCGACAGACAGACGCGACACGACCAGCCAGACGACCACGACAAGAGGCAGAGCAGCCAGGAAGGCAGCCACGACAAGCGGCCACGACACGGCGACCAACGAACCACGACAGCAGCCAAGACACGACCAGACAAGCAGCCACGACACGACGGGCAGCCACGGACGCGAAAGCGCGCGCGCCGCCCGCCACGGCGGGACGCAAGCGCACATGCCTGCAAGATGCAAGCACCAATGCCTGCACACCGCACGACCCCGAGGCGCGCCGCGATCCGCCCCGACGCGATCCCCGCGGCGCGCCTGCACGGGGCGTTCGACGCGAAGCGAGCAGAAGAGCAAACGAGCAACGCGCATGACGTCGCTTCCCCCTCGCGCGCGCGGGCCCTTCGCGTGGGGCCGCGAACCGCCAGGCACATGCCGTCGCCCCCCCTCGCGCGCGCGCGGGCCCTTCGCGTGGGGCCGCGCGCCGCGAGGCACATGCTGTCGCCCCCCTCGCGCGCGCGAGCCCTTCTCGTGGGGCCGCGCGCCGCGAGGCGCAGGAAAGCGGGAGGCGGCCCGCGCGCCCTGTTCGCCCGCCGGCGCGCGGGCCAGGGGCGGGCGCGAAATTTGTGCCCGCGCACAACGCAGCACAAGCGAGCGCGCGCGCTTTCGATGGTGTTGGGCGCCCACGAAAAGGGTTCCTTGTTCAGCGCCCCGACTGTAGACCGCGACGCGCCAGGCGCGATTATCTCCCGGCCTCCGCAGGTGACGTTGGGCCCTCTGGCTGGCGCGTCGGAGCGATCGGGCCTCCCGCTGTGCGGGGGGGATCTGCTCCAAGAGGCAGGATAGGTCAGCCTTGAATCGAGAAATCGGGTCGAACGTCAGTGTGCGTCGGATCGGGCCGCGTCGGGGATCGCGGGGAGGTCGAGGTCGAGTCGGATCGAACTGGCCGAAATCGATATCGAATCGGATCGATCGGATCCAAACAGGTCCTAACAGGGGCGTGCTGCCGCGGAGCGCTATCGTCAGGAAAGGCGCCAGGAGGCCGCAGAGGGAAGCTGCCGGGGCACTCGCAGGCGAAGTGGCCCTTCCGAGAACTTGCAGAGGCTGCGATCGACTCAAAGCAGCACCACCCCCCGCCCACCCACCCAGCCAGGACCCCTGGCCAGGACCCCTGGGGGTAATGGTGGTGGTTTGGGCCCCAAGAACCCCGCAACAAAAAATACACACACCACCCCCTGGAGTTAGGTCGGGCATGACAGGCGGATTTTCGACGAAAAATAAGAGATAGTCAAACAATACCCCAAAAGTGCTGATAAGTACAAACAAGTAGTAGCCCGACTGTTCTTTCGCTATTTTTGGATTTCCCCCCTGTAGAAGGACAGGCCCGACTTAACCCTGGATGGGGTCCTGGCTGGGGGACGGGGGTGGGTTGCGCCGTCCTCATCAACGACGCTGTGGAACTGCTGGCGGTCACCACCCGGCGAAGGTGCGCGCACAGCTTCCCCCCGGCCTCCACCCGAACAGGGCCTCGAGAGAATGACTGCGCACGGCACGGCCTGCAGAAGAACCCCACACCCGGAGTGTGAAACGGCTCGTGGGGAGCTGGCCTCGCTCCCCCCTGCCAGACGAGCGCGTCCCACTGCTCGCAGGGTCGCTACGCAGAAACGGCCTGGATCCCCCGCGGGGGATCTGCGAGAAATTGCGCGAGAGCAGACATGCGTTTCTGTCGGGCGTCTGCGAGCAGGCACTCTGCGAGCAGTGAAAAACGCGCTCGGCGATGTCTGCGCTGCGGCGGGCCCAGGCCGCGGCCTCCCCCCTCTGTAGCAGCGCTGCAGCACCGCCGCCGGAGGGCCGAGGCCGGGCTCGAGCGGGCGCCGCGGCGGGAGGCCCCTCGCCGATGCCCCCGGGGGCAGGCCACTGCGCCCGGACGCGCGGGAACTAATTAGAGCTGCCAACGCTTGAGGACGCGCGCGCCCGGTCTGGCGGAGGCCTCCAGCGCTCCATGGGGGCACGATTGTTGTGCACCACCTCCGCCAACAGGCTGGTCTGGCACCAAGAGCCGTGGAGCGGGGGTTGTGCGCAAAAATGGCGTCCCCTGGGGACGCGAGTTTTGCACACCACCACCCCCGAACGGGCTGGTCCAGCACACAGTATGCGCGCGGGGGCGACGGGCATGGATCGGCGAGTCTCCCCGACTGCCCGCTGGAGAACCACTGGAGGTTGGAGATGTGGGGCTGCACCCACCAAGAAATCGTGTCTCGCGTTTCTTGCCGTGCGCGGCGTGGGCGCTCGGCTATTCGCGAGTGGCCTCGTCCGCCTCCTCCAGCTCCTCCTCCTCCTCCCTCCCCTCCGCCTCCCGCTTGCTCACACAGTGGTTCCCACAAGGATTTCCGCAACGGCTGGAAAAGCATGTGGCCTAAGCTCCGCCGCCGGAGGCACGGGGTGTGGTGTCCGCAGGTCCCTTGAGCCCTCCGTCCTCAGTGCTCGCAATTGCACATTCAAAAATCGAGAGCGGCCAAGAGGGGGGTGTCCAAGACGGGGGGGTGCAAATCATGACCGGCGGCACGTGCGCGGCCCAGCGGGGGGGCCAGGGACGTGATGAACCAAGGAGAGGCGCCATGAGATCTGGGGAAAAATCATGGCCCCCGCCATGATATCCCCCCCCCCCCCTAGTCGTCACCCCCCTCTGCTCCGCCCCCGAAGAGAAAGGCCCGGACCACAGACTGCCAGCTTTCCCGGGCTGCCCGCGTGCAGGGGCGCGTCAGCGCATGACGCTTTCGGAGCCGAGGGGGCACAGGAACGGGCCGAGGGGCCCACAGGATGCGCCCAGGGCGGTCCGAGCGGGCCCCGGGTCGACCCAAGGGCGCTCTCCAAGAGAGCTCCACGGCGGCCCGAGAGGCCCCCCAAGATGCCCCAAGAGGCACCCCGAGAGGCCCTCCGGGTGGCCAACATCGTCGATTGCCTTGGGTGAGGTCTTCTAAAGAGAGTTTGAAGGATATCGCATTTGTGGGACCCCGACGCTCCAAGATGGCCCCAAAAAGCACCGAGAATCGCCCCTGGAGGATCCCAAATCAGACTCCAGAAGGCACCCAAGAGGCCCCGACAGGCAAAGATACTCCCAACACCGTCTCCAAGAGGCTTCCAAGAGGCCTCCCGAGAGATCCCACAGGCATACCAGAGGCCTCTGACATACAACCTAGGTGCGGTGGCGGGATGGGCCGAAGGCACTAGACATACATGGTCCTGGGTCGAGGGTTCACAACCCCCCGCCTCAGATGGGATGGGTCTCAGGGTTCCCCAGATGGGATGGGGGGGGACGGCGGCGACGACGCCGACGCCGACGCCGACGCCGCCGACGCCAAACACTCATCGCAATCGCCGCCGCATGGGATCTGCAAACCAAGTTGCGGCTGGCTGGGTGGGTGGGATGATTGCGCGAGCTCTGGAGTGGTCAACTCAAAATTTTCAAACTTCAAAGAAAGGATAAGCTCCTCCCCCTCCCACCGGGCTCATCGAGTCGCCGTGTCACACTGCAATGTACATATCATTATGCCTCGCCGTGCATTTTCCATGAACTCCGATCATCCAAGTCCATACGGGCATCGCCCCCCTCTCCTCTCTGTTTAGGACTATCATGCGCGCGCTCACATAAAATATCTTTTCAAGAACCCCTTAAAAAACGCATCGCACGAAATTCACACGCGCGCACATGTCGAACGCATACCAAACACATTGGTTCTACAAGCGATTCAACATACAAACAATCATAGCCGCAAGCTTTCCATCATCAACCTTGATTTCCTGCCCGCACGCAGTTGCTGTAATCATATAAGAAAATGGATTTCGCAATAATGTCGGGATGCAGCAAATTCATCTCGCCATGCGGTGTATCCGCGTTGATGTTGCCTGCGCCCAGTGCGTGAATAATGTCAATATCACCATGCGGGCCATGTGCACACGCCGCCACGCGCGCGGATCCAAGTCCGCCCGAAACCATCGGTCCTTGAAACTTTCCAGCACAATGTTGTTCAAGCTGTGCGACAACAAACACTGCGTTACAACAGAAGCCCGCCAAATGTGTTGCGTTTCGGCGCGCGCATTTCTCCAGTATCACCCTCATCAGCGCCACCGCACCGCCGTTACCGTCGCCGCCACTGCCGCCGCCATAACTCACACCTATCGCCGACACATGGACATCATCATCGTCATCGTCGTCAACAGCATGGGTGCTGTTATTGACCTTGCCATCGTCGTCGTCATTATCGCCCCCATCATCGCCATTATCACCACCACTGTGGCCGCTGTCCATGTCTAATGATACCTCGCCCGCCCGAGTCACCGACCTGCACTGGAGTGCCCGCGCGCCGGCGCAGCCTTTGAGACGCGCTGGGAAGTTTCCATCGGTCAGCGTCGTCGTGGCCGCATCGGTTGTACCAAACCAGCTGCTCGGTCTGCGCGCGAGCTTGCGCGAGCTCGCGCATGCACAGATGAGCCAACCATTGCCACATAGTCACCGTAATCGCGGGGGTATGGATTGTGCAAAACAAGTTGCGGGCGGGAGGGTGGGATGTTTGTGCGAACATTTGAGTTGACGATCTCAAGTTACGCAAGGTGTCTTGACCCCAGTCGACATGACAGCTCTTTGAGGTCCACGCTGAGGTCATCAAACAACTACCAGCAAAACAATAGTAATCAAACGGACCATGCATGTGCACGGGGAGTGCGATACTGAAGGGGCCCCAGGACACACAAATAAATGCACACAAATAAAAGGGTTCTCAATCTTTTCCTATATTCTCTGGGTTTTTGTCTTCCCCCCACTTCCCATATTTTCCAATATTTTCTTGGGAGTCGACGATCAATTGTGTCTGTGTTTTTCTTTCCCTCCTGAGATACACATGTGAAATGCACGG